TGACCTTTAAGTAAAAAATCCTACATAGCAGCTATGAAGAGAAATTTTAAAGTTTTATTCTCCAACAACACTTAGGACTCGTTAAATTAATGAAATACAGAGAATGCGCAGAGAGGGGCAAAAATTTTCAATCTATGAAATGCAAATCAGTGATTTTCTGTCGTTAAATTTAGGGCAAATATAAGTGCAAGTTTTTTAAGATTTGAAATAGAGGCAATAAATTCCGAACTGAAAAAAATATTTTTGAACACCCTATGCAATAAAATGTAGTTATAAATTTGTAACTTATAACCATGATTCTGGCTATTCTATGCAATAATTTCACGCATCTTTGAAAACCTAACTGAAATATTTATTGAGATATAGTCATTTTTATAAAAACTATTTTTTTTTGCCTTGCGTTTTTTTGCTAAATAAAATTTAAAATAATATGAATATAAAATTTAAAAAATGCAATGAAATAAATATAAATAATTCAACAAGAAATATTCAATAAAATTAAACAAAATTTTTAGGATCAATTTAAAATGCAGTATATAATTATCGCTTTAAAATTTGAGAAAAATTCGTTAAAAACTGCGAAAAATATGAGTAGTTAGCGTAGTTCTTTTATGCTGCGCATGCGCGGAAAAAAACTTTAAAATTTTTTGTAATTTTGCAAGGAATCGTATTTGGCAACTATTGATAAATGCTTTATTTGAATAACTGAAAAATTTTTAATTTTAATTTACTAGTAACTTAAAATTTGTATAACTTAAAAATTTTCTTTTGCATGTTATCTTTCTCTATACCATCAAAGTTTAATTTCCGGGCGATTATTTTAAGGTATTATTATTTGTTACTAAATTTTGTCTTATGATACAAAAGAAAATTTGCGAAAAGCCCTTGATCGTTTTGAGCTTTCTTTTGTTGAAAAGTTCGAAAAACTACTTAGTAAATTACTTGAAAATTTTAAATTTTTTAAAATATTCAAATCAAACTCTTTTTATTAGTTGCCAGATACGATTAACTACAAAATTATGGAGAAAGAAATTTTTCAATTTTTTCACTGCATGCAGAGTATAAAGGAACTAGCTTAAACACTCATAACTTGCGCAGTTTTTAGCGATTTTTTTTTTAAATTTTAAATCAGCAATTTTGTAATTAGTCTTAAATTGCTCAAAGCTTTATTTAATTCCATTGAATATCTATAAAATATGAAAAAACGTAAGGCGAAAAAATCACTTTTTTAAAAAATTGTCCACATCTCCATAAATATTCAATCTAGGTTTACAAAACTTTATGCGGTTATTAAAAATAACTACTAAAGTAATCAATACAAGTTAAGAACTTATTGCTTGATTTTCTGACATAGAGTGTAAAAAAATACTTGTTTTCTTTCGCAATTTATTGCAGGTCTCTCAAATTCTGAAAGCTCCAAATTTTACTGCTAAGTAAGAAAAATCGCATAAACTAGACATCTCTAAAGTTACAAAATAATCCTTTAAATATTTCTGGAGAAAATTTTGAAAAATGTATAAAACTGAAAGTGTATCTTCCATTATTGTAAAATAGTGTGTATGAGAGAAAAATCTGATATTTAAAAAAAACACATCCATTTCTTTATAGCATTTAAAGGGAGAGAAAAATTTTAAATTATAAGATTTGTGTTTCACAAAACTTCAAAAATTACATTTTTATAAACTGTTTTTCATTTTTCATTACAGTAATGGATAAAGATTAAATGTTTTAAAATTATTATCTAACATTAATTATAGCAAAACAAAATTTAGTTATCCTTTTTTTCACTTCTTCTTTTAGTAAAATTATTGTACTGAATCGTAAAGAAATTTCTAGTTAAAACAAAAACGCAATTCAGGTAAATCAAACCAAATTATTTTGTATTTAAACCATTCATTTGGTAATTTTGCAGTTTATATAGTATAACGGTTTACGAGAAATTCTGGTTTTTTAAATTTCAGTACTTATTATCACACAAAATTCTATACTGAAAAATAAATTTAACCGAATAATCAGGATAATGTATAATATCATGATGAAATAATCAACCATGATAATGTCATAATAATATAATATCCTGTTAATTTCAGAAAAAACATTACCAAAGCGTTTCGGTAAAAACTACCGAGCTTTTTAGTATTCCCGTCTAGCCAGAAACACGTTAAATTTTACCAAATTCTAGTAGTTTTTGCCATACTTTTTCCTCAATGTTTATTAAGCTAGATCCCAATGTCTTTCGACCTTTAAAAATAAAGTTATCAAAAATAATTATAGCCAGTTTCAGAAAATGATTAGATAAGAAGCTGAAGAATTTAGGATATTTCCTTATAATTCAATTCTCAAACAAATTGCAGACATCATTTGAATTTGAAAATGTTCCCTAATTAATTTAAGAAAGGAATTATTTGTTTCGGATTAGAAAAAAAAGTTTTCCAAATTTTATGTCAAACAATTTAATTTCTTCCAGCACTGAACATGAATATACAAAAAAATTTAAAAATATTTATATGTAAAGCAAATTTATTTTTAAATGGAAAGAAAAATAGATTAAAAGCCTGGAGTTTTCATATTTTTTATATACTATTCTTTTTCTGGGAAAATGTCTTTCTGTTTGTTCATTTCCTGAAACAAAACGAAAATTGTGTTTCTTTGAGGAAGTAATTATTTAAAACTGAAATAGCGCTTAAGAAATTTTTGGCGAAGAAAGAAATTCTATTAACTTTTTCTAAAAGAATATTTATTTTTTATCAAAAATCAAGATAAAAGAAAATAATTTCTATACAAGAAAAATTAATACTGCACCAAATAACTTAACGTTTTGCACATAAAAGATGTTGTTTATTTCTTAAACCTTCTTTTTTAAATCTCCTTTTTTATGGTATATCTTTATTCACAAATTTACAAAAGCACTTCAAAGATAAGAGATTGATTTTCGGTTGCAATATTGTAAAGAAATTTATTTTGATTTTAAAAATTTAAATGTTCGCTAAGATCAAAATTTAGTTTTACGCCTGTAATCTCTAAGAAAAAAGATAAGCAATATTTATTTGCGCATTTTTTTCATTAAATCCTAAACCTTGTTTTTTTTATGGTATATCTCTATATACAAATTTAATAAAGCTCTGGAAATTGAAAGCCCAAAACATTGATTTTTGGTAGCAATATTATAAAGAAATTTATTTTGATTTTGAAAATTAAATACTCTCAAAGATCAAAATTTAGTTTCAAACCGGAAATTCTGAAGTAAAGGAGAAACATTATTTCTTCACACAAAGAAAAACAGCTTATAACATTGATTTTAATGCAATACGAAATACGATATGCAATACAATATTCTACATAATCTCTCCTGGTGGAAATTGCTTGATTCATTAGAAGTTAATTGTAAAAAGAAAAGGGCTATTCAACTTATTGCGTAAGCATTAAAAGAGAGGAGTGATTTGCTTATTTTTGATGACAAGGAATGAGAACGAGTCTGAGCAATGCTTGCGGAAACCGCTAAAATACACTTATTTTCAATTTTTTTATTAATGGAAGAAAATTCAACAGATACAAAAAGAAAATGCATAGGTAAAAATATCGAAATTTGAATAAAATTTAGATTTGGGGAAATATGCATAATAGTTTGAGAAAATATTTTCAATTTAAGTGGCCGTTTCAGTAAAATTTCTGAAATTTATCTAGTTCTTTAACGAAAAGCCATAATTAAATTTCAATAATTCCTTTTAATGTTATGATATTTGCCTTAAATACCTTACATCAATTTAATTTAAGTGCAATTGTTATTTTAAGTGCTTTAAATATTGTTATTAATATTATTTATCTCTCAAACCCATTTGCGCTATGTCTTCTGTGAGAAAAGGTTGCGCAAATGAACTTTCCTAGTTTTACTGACACTGTTGCTTAATCCCTTCTCTCTCACTTCCGTCAAATTCACGGGATGAGATTTCGTCTCCTATGTCTCGTGCCCGTGATATATCCGGGCTAGAGCTTTCAAAAGTGATGCACCAAAAAGATTTAAACATATCCTTCTCTTGAGGCCGGATTTTTAATGTATTTATAATTTCACACTCTAGATGGCTGCACCAGGCTATTTTTAATGTAACTGGAGATACTTTACTTTAAGCACGATGTCAGAATTATATAAATATATGTATTTGTGATATATATTTCGTACTCTTAGATCAGCTACATATGCTTTTTATGAATAAACATGATTTGTGTTCTATGATGATAAAAAAATTTTAATATTGAGTACATTATGGAGTCCGAGTTACATGGAATATGAAATTTTAATTTTCAAGTTAAAAAAAATTCCGAAAATCAAAACTTAATGCATTAATTACCCCTTTTTATGTAATTTCCTTGAATGAAATGTTCAACACTCTTATGGCATTTTATTTGAAAAATGTAAAATCGTTAACGGGCTAAGTATAGCAACAAAATAATAATGAATGCATGAAAAACAAATATAGTCGGCATTATTAATAGCCAGTTTAACTAACAAATATTTACTATTTTTAAAATTATTTTGTTGGATTGTACGGAACCTCTCCCAGCTTTACTTTAGCAGCGAATATGATTTTCATGTTTCGATAATTACTAATACTGCCTAAATTTGAATAAAAAGTAATTTTTGCAGGAATGAGTTTTATTGCATCGACTGGAAAATAAGTCGCAATTAATTACTGAACTTTGAAAAAACCTCATACTAAAATAACAAAATAAGAGGAATCTCGTTATACGTTTCTGAAATGTGATCTACACATTATGCATATAAAATATTAAAAAAAATTTAAAAATTGTCATATTTTTTAATATGAAACCGATCACCGAATAATTAATAGTTTTAAGAATTATTAAACATTTGTTAACGATTTGTATAATTATGAAATTTGAGATACAAACTTTCTAATCAACTGAGAAATAGTTTTATTAAAAATTGAAGTTTATATTTCTTTCCTTGCTTATTTTATTTATATATATTTTCTTTCTCACAGTTGGATTCCAATTTGAACGAGTTATTGGATAGAGTTCCACATCATCTTCAAGAACCACTTCAAAGTCTTTTAGAAATTGATGCTCGAAGGAGGCCCAATTCACAGAATTTTTCTATGGTTTGTATATTTATTTTCACGGCATATTTCAAATCTCATTTCATCGGTATAATAGTTGTACATTTTATTCGCTTATAATAACTTCTTTTTTATATTGATATAAATAATAAGAATGGATGTCATATCTTCTTTAAGTTTTTTCTTCTTACTTCCTTTCTTCTCATAGTTCTATTATTATTTTTTTTTTATATTTCTAAAACATTTGTGATTTTAACTTAATAGAAATTGTAGTTGATATCAAAAATCTCCTCAAAGTAAGTGCTTTATTTTTATTTCTTATTTAGAAAAAAAAGGTTTTAAGTGATGCATTCATTTAAAACTTAAATAAAAAAATTTCCTTAACAATTAAATGCTAAATTTTCCATTCTCTTTATTAATTTAATTTTATTATTTCAACTTCTGAAGATAATAACATTTTGTCAATATCATAAATTATGAGTTAATTTCATGTTGAAAAAATAAATTATGGACTGAAAAAATTTTAATCCTTTGCTAGAAAATTTGTTCTTGTTCTAATGGAATTTATTTTATTTTTATTCCAAACAAAAGATATATTAATTGAAAGATAACTAAATAAACTGTAAAATAACTGAATGGTCATTATGAAGAACTGAGTTTGAGTTTGAGCCAGTGGCGTCTTGTATCCCACTCAGTAAAAGCGGGGAAGTAAAAGCGGCCTGTGCGCATTGCTGATCACGTCGCCCCAATCAAGTCGGTGGCCATGAAATTGGGGAAACTTAACATCCATGCTCTCCTGGCCTCGGAATGGGCTGTTGCGGAAATGCTTTGCTTTTTTAATTAATTTACGGTTTGCCTTGCTTTTTTTTTAATTTACGATTAAGTATTTTTAATTTATGCATTTTTAGTATTATATAACTATCAGTAATTATAAACTATACTTATTTATAAAAAAGTTCAATTATTATAAAAATCATAATATATTTTTAATAATTTTTGGTTTTTTTTATAATTTGATTTTATATTTGTAGAAGATTAAAACTCATATTTTTATAACAGATTAAGTATTTCATGGAACCTGCTGTGCATGCTTTGCAATACTTGGATGTAATACAGATGAAAGATTCTACGCATAAATCTCATTTTTATCATAACTTACAAGGAACATTATTTAGCATTCCAAAGGTAAGTAAGTTTTCATTTTAGAAGCTGAAGATATCAAAAAACTAGATATTTTCATCATAATTTCTAAAACAGCGAAATGAAAATGTTTAAAGTTAAAAATAAATAAGCTTAAAAAATTACGTTTAATAAAAGGAAAAAGAGTAAATTAAACGAGCTTACCACAAATGAAAAAATGCAATCTTATTTTTATTTGCTTAAATAAATTAGATAAGTTAGACACTAAATGAATGAAGAATGAGGTCTTAATAAACCAGACAGTTTTTGCTAGTCCTGATTAAGTAACTCGTAGAATCAAATAAGACTACATTTGTAGAGTTAAATGAATTTTATAAGACTTCTTTTTGCTCAAAAATTCTTTAACTGCATTCTTCTAATATACAATTAGAGTAATACTCAATAACCAAAACATTTGATTGTGTTAAAATGTTTTTAGTTGAACACATTAACTATTTTAAATTTGCATTTAAAACTTGTTTTCAAGTAAAATCATTAGCTCAAATTCTCTGTTAAGAAACTGTTGAAAAAAATGGTTGAATAACAATTTATTTAATTGTCATTTTACTATATTCAAATAAAATGATCAAATAACTATAAGAAGATATTTAAAACTGTTCACTCTGAGAAAAACCGTTTATTAACTGCTTTTACTAAATACTGTTAAACAACCAGAGTCTTATCACACCAATTAGGCCCTCCTAATGAGGCCGCTTAGTTCCTTGCAGATGGGTACATAGTATATCCGAGAGTGCTATTCTCTCATTTTCAAGACCAACTGAAAGGAAGTTCGAGTTCCAGTGCTGACACCACAGTATTTCTACTATTTCCCTCAACACATGAACAGTCTGAAACAACGTATGAACATAACATGAAGACTTCAGCACATGAAGTGAAACAACCAACAGTGAAACAGAACGGTGATACAATAAGTTAAAACGCAATCTACGATTCATTTGATAAAACAAAACTCAATCCAAATGCCAATTACCCGACAAAAAGCCTAGTTGGAATGTCCAGTTAAGTTTCTTTTTTACGGTATTGCAGCTATGCTAGTAATAAATGGTTACAGAAACGTGTATTCATGGTTTTTTAACCATATTAGTTGTAAACGTTTTGAAAACCGTAACGTTGAAAAATGTTCTTTACTGCAAACTTTCTGATTAATTGGATGGCCAAACTGCTGTCGTTTACTTCACCGTAATTTTGGAATGAAATTTCTAACTGTGTTAACTGTATACGGCAGTATTTCCCAAACTTATGACTTTTGTGTACCCTTTCTAAATTTTTCGTAACGCTGTGTATCACTAATAAGAAAATTTATGTATTGTTTTACTATAAAAAGTTGCACAAAAGTTAAAAATCACAACCGGCTCTTGACACCACTAATTATTAACTGCTAACTCTGCTAAAAATAGCCAATAGAAAAATACGTAATCGTAAATTTTCATGGCTAGCTTTGTTTTTAAATGAATTTTTTTGAAATTTTCGTTTGTTGCAAGATATTTCGCATAAGGACGCGTACCCCCGCTAAACTGTTCCCGTACCCCTGGGGGTACGCGGACCACACTTTGGGAAACACTGGTATATGGAAACAGTTAAGGTAATCACCGAATATATTAAACTAATTGTCAATGGTTTTTGTAAAAAATGACAAAATATAACTTTCTTAAATAATTTTTCCTCAAAAACTATCCAACCCCTTTGCTTTAAATTTTGGATTCCGACATTTAAAATTACAATATATAACAAGATGTAAAATTTATATGCAATTTAGCTAAAACAAAAAGATTTCGATCATCAATTAATTATATAAAATGAGACAATTTCATAATTATTGAAACTTATTTTCAGATGAAATTTTAATTTAACACCGAAAACTGGAGGTGAATTTTAAATCGATTCATGCAGTGATATATGAAGAAAAATTGAAAAAGAATAAAAATAAAAATTATCCGATTAAATTTTCTTACCCCCTCCTGATTAAGCTTATAGGATTAAGATTCCCTGATGATCAGAAACTGCATCTGTAGCAGGAGCCTGGAGTCGGCACGCTCCAGAGATTTTTTTTTTCCTATAGCTATGGTAGGATCTAAAGCTCTAAATTTCGCCATGATCCAGAAATAATAAGCCACAGACATTCAAGAGGCCTGCAACGATGTAACGATATTGACCGTTAGCCAAGTTGCTATAGAAGGACTATTCTCAGCATAAGAACACATTTATAATGAATTATGATTTTTTAGATTATCTTCCTTTCGTAAGAATTTACAAATAATTCAACCGTGAATTAAACGAAACTCTGTGAGAGCTGATGATCATGCTATTCTTTTAATGTTCTTTTTAATATTATAAATTTCAAATTAAAATTTTAAACTCAAAAATAGTAAATATATAATAAAATTACCGAAGTCCTAGAGGAGCTGAAGCTTTGGCTTATTATTTGATAGAGGAGTTGAAGCAACGAAACTTTTTGAGCTCCGAGTCCCTGTCTAATGATGGCTACCCTTTTCTCAAATGGTTATAACTCATAGTCCGCCAAAAAAAAATTATGAACTAATAAAGGAATTTAATCAAATTATTTTGATGAATATTTGGTTTATAAAAAATACGTAGTTTTAATCTCTTTCGGAAAACTTTTTCTGTTCGAATACGAAGAAATTACAAAACAAAAAGAAACAAAGTAAGGTTCGAACAAAACTAATTATTATAAGCAAAACCAAAAGAAAGTTTAATCCTTTAACAGCAAAAAAGTTATTGTTTCAAACGAATATAAAGAATATTCGTTAATGCGCTGTAAAAAAAACTAATTCAATTAAAAATTTGCAAGAATCTTAAAACTTGAAAAGGAACATTAATATAATTAACGATGGTTTCACTTTTCTTTTTTTAGTCTTTTTATTCATCATTTTAATCAGAAAGTTCTTCGAGCTAAATAGTTAACATATTAAAAATGTTCAAAATCCATGTAATCTTTATATTTCTAAACTCTTTGGATGGATTATTAATTTATTCTGATTTCAATGAACTGTTACTAACTGCTACAATGAACTATTTACTAACTGCTTTATATANCTGGTAGCAAAACCATTTTATTCGAGGCGAGAAAAGAAACAATAATTATATATATATATATATAATTAAGAATGAAAGAAAAGACTAAATTTTAAATACAAACTTAGAATTTAGATTTAATAATGATGATATATATGATAACTAAATTATTACTAAAATAAGTTTCCAGTGATAAGTGATACTCGGGAAAAATAAGTAAACATTATTTTTTTCTTCAATAATGTCAAAATTTCGTCCATTTTCATGATTTGTTGATTTGCTTGTTTCATCATTTGGTTTGTTTATATATAATTTACAAGGTGATACAGAAAGGCTACTACTTTTCCTCAAATTTAAACACTTATGATTTCTTCTTGCGGAATCATGTCGTCAAGTCATGGAGTCGAAGTCATGTATTACAGAAAAGTAGAGTTGTAGTTTGTTTATGCCACTAAGTCTCATGCGCCTGCTAATATAGAAACAAAAAATAGCGCGTTTCAGAGAGGGGATCTTCTCTAGCCCCCATTCCCTTTCTCTCGTCGACCGGAGCCAAAATTTGTCTTGACAATGGACTCTACCCCCATACTTGAGATAGTTAAACCTCATGGTCCCCGCCAATATTCTAGACCAGGGGTGTCAAACTCGCGGTCCGAGAGTAACATTTTTGTGGCCCAGTCAATATATCCGATGCAAAGTAAAAATAAATTAGAAATGTGAATTAGAAAGGAAACTAGCATATAAAATTATAATATACTTTATTTATAAACTATACGGATCATTTTAAATTGTACGCTCGAAAATGTAAAATTCTAATTGGCTTGCGGCACCTGCCATTCCAGGGATACTGCATCGTATCAAAAATACGCAGAAAAGATTTCAATTTTTGGAACGGAATTTTAAACAAGGTTTAAAGATTTTAATTCCTCGGAAAAGAAATTTTGTTTGTTTTCGTCGATTTTCTCAATAAATATCAGTACCCAGTACCCAGTAGTATGCAAATGGAAGTGATTGAGATTCAGTGCGACTCAAATTTGAAGGCAAAATTCATTGAAGTGGTTGTGCCTGAATTTTACAAATATTTACCGGCAAGGTTTGAAAATGCTCGAAAATTCGCCTATGAAATTATTTCCATGATTGGAAATACTTATCAGTGCAAGCAATTATTTTCTGTTATGAATGGAAATAAATCTCCTGTCCGAAACCGCATTAATAACTCTCATGTTGGGTCAATTTTGAAAGTAGTCTCGTCCAAAAAAATTTCTCCCGAAATAGGAAAGATAGTAGCAGAGAAGAGATGTCAAATATCAAACAATAATTTAACTTTATATGTGCTTATTACAATATGCTATTCAAATTAAAAATATTTGTTTCTATGAACATTGATTTTTTTTTTTGCGGCCCTCCTAAAGTTAAGCATTGTTTATTTGGCCCAAGTTAGCTTTTCAGTTTGTCACCCCTGTTCTAGACCATTGTTTCTCAACGGGGGTGGTGGGAGTATGCTGAGGAGCAGTGAACGTGTTTTGGGCCGTAGTTGGGCGATGAGCATGTTTCGTCAATCAAATTTAATTTTATAACTTACAAATAAAATTATGAAATTAAAATTTATTTAATAATTAAAATTAATCTAAAATTAATATTAAGGACAAAAAAAGATTGCATTAATATAATAAACTAAGATTATCCGATATACCATTTGTACCAGCAATAGAACGAACTTATGCGACACCTATTCTCCGAACCATGAGTCAGTAGTTTTTGTCTCTGACTCATTCTAGCCATTTCGCAAATGACTCTGACTCATTCAGGCCATTTGAAGGAAATTGAAGTGCATGCGTTTTCAGTATGAATGCCGTGTTTCTTATGATAGTTCTCGTTAACTTCCTTACAGTTTTTTACCTAGTTTTGATTCGATTTCATTGTCTATTTGGCCAAGGACGTTCGCGAATTAGTTCTTTATCATAATTTTTTATTAGTTTGGAGAAAAATTGCTGATCTTCTTTCATCGTTGCCACCAACAATGTCAGTTAGCAAAAAGAAGTGTCATCAATACTTGAAGTTTGAATTTGTTCAATCGTTGTCGAATTGTCAACTTCCCGTGTAGTTACTTTGCAACAAAATTTTATCTAATAAGGTAATGAAACCTTCCCGTTCCGCATTTGCAAAAAACTCATCTGACAAACAAAATAAAGATTTATAATTTTTCACGAACATCAAAGAATAGTTTCTGAAGGCACCCTCGGTCTCAGGCTTAATTGCAACCTCGTCACAAAAAATGGTTTTATAGTTTCTTATAATATACCAAAATTAATTGCGAAATCTGGGAAAGCTCATACCATCAGCGCAAAGTTGATACTGCCGTTTGTCAAGTTTAAGAAGCAGTTTTACACCATCCAGCCGCACCCAATGTAATAAAAAATATCCCATTAAGCAACGATACAGAGCTGCGACGAATTGATGGGATGGCTGAAGACGTTGAAAATTCTTAATGCTAACTTTTGATATCCAATGAATTTTCCCTTCAAGTTGATGAATCAATATTGCCAAGTAATGTAGGCTGTACTGTATTTCTTACTAAATTCAGACAGCATTTAGTTGGAAAATAACTCAGTGACCGTTTGCATCAGTCATTGAAATGCGTCATATCTGCTGTGAACGCAATTCACAGTAATGCTCTCAACGATTGATTATTCAGACAGCTGTGTATGAAAAATGAAGAATTCAATCGCTTGCTACTACATACCGAGATTCACCGGTTTTTCAAAGGCTCCTATCTCAATAGGTTTTTGAATTTTTTCGACTCTGTCCTTGAATTCCTCAAACAGAGATGTAGCTCTGAGGAAAAGCTTACTAGAATTTAAGATAAACGTTAGCGGATATATTTGCAAAATTCAATGGCGTTAATTTACATCTTCAAGGTGACGAGCTCAATTTGATCCCTACAAAATCAGTTATTTCTGCTTTTCTAAAAAAACTCATTTTGTGGAAGCCGAATTTTAGCAGGACTGAGTTCAGCCAATTTCCAATCTTCTCGTATCTTAAAAAGAATGGAGAAATTCGATCTGATGATACACAAGAATATTGTCTATACCAACGAATAGTCAATATTCTTGTATCTGATGATACAAGAATATTGTCTATTGTGTAGTATATTGTCTCTCTGCACATGGACTTTTCTGACCGTTTTAAAGACATTTTGTTCCTTGGAAGTTCCTCAATAGGTTATGAACCCTTTTGAGAATATTGAAACAGCAGAGGTTCAGATTTAGGAGGAATTGGTCGAAATTTCAACGAATGAAACTTTGAAATGTTGATAGTCTAACAGAATTTTGGTTTCAAGGTAACATTAGTCTGCTCTACCTTGGACTGTGGACTATCGTTAAAAAAATTTTATTGACTTCCCTTCCTCCTACCTTGTTGAACGTGAATTCAGTGCTGTTCTTGTCACAAAAAAGAGAAATAGACTCGAAATTGTGCAACAAGGGGACTTGCGTCTTCACCTCACTAAAATATTGAACCGAACGTTAAGAATCTGGCTCTGAACCATCAAGTACAATCATTCCACTGACATAGTTACTTGAATGCTTCGTTGATACTACTTTTTAGTGTAAAATAATTTATTTTGCGTGTTTTTTTAATATCTAATTAACAATAAATTACTTTTTTTAGCTTAGGTTTCTTTGTTGTAATTTTTTTCATTACCGTATTTATTTTGATTATGACAAATAGAGCGCGATTACCTGCCGGGAGAAAATTATACAATTAACGTACACATGAATTTTTTTTAAAAATCAAGCTTTAAATAACTGGTCCCCATGCTCCAAATAACTGGACCCCATGCTCTAAATAACTGGATTTCCACAAAGGGAGGAAGGCGTTTAAATGTTTTTTGCTCCTTAAAGGGGCGGCAATGTTATAAAGGTTGAGAATCTATGTTCTAGACGAATGGTGAGGGAAGTTCCTTCCATGGACATACTACACACGGAACACTAAATCATCGCTATAGCTTTAAATAATACGACTGACAAGGAGATGGATAAAAGGAAACTTTCACTTATAATCCTTACATCATTCATTTTCTAAAACTAAATCTAACTACATGATAAGACCTGGAATGACAGTGACTATTATTTGTCTCATATCTATTTTGTAACGTTTCTACTCAATTTTGAGAAACCCTTTTTGACAGTGTAGGGAAGCTATGATTTAGATCGATTCCTCAAAACCTTCCATAGCATGTTGCAAACTTTTTACTCGGGGAATTATATCGTATTGGTGTTGTTTCTTGTCCCGACAACCTCTTTTATTCCACAAGGGGCTATAAAAGGGGTTGTGTTCTCATCTACAGAGTGAACGCTTCACTATTACTGAATCACTCATCTGTCTTTATGCTGCTCATACACAATTTATGCAGAATCTGTCATTGGGAGTAATGATCTTCCCCGACATAGGATAGAAATATTAATTATAATTACAATATATATCATTTTAATTTTTCACCACTCTGTTTTGTTAACCTTTGAATTTATGAAATACATTTTTTTTTCAGAAACTTTGGTTTCAGCACGTACTACCCTCCCTGAAAACTGAACTACAGTCACCCGAAGTGTTGGCTGCAGCACTACAACCTTTACTTTTCATGATTGAAGAGAGTACCATAGAAGAATATCAAAATGAAATTTTACCAGTTTTCAGAACAATTTTTAGTATGCCAAAATCTGTCCAGGTTGGTATTTTTTTAATTCTTATCTTTTTTTTTTTCATCCGAGTTAATTTGATGAATTTTTCATTTTAAATATGTTTTTTCTTAAAAAGCAATAAAAAAAAACTAATAATATTTTTAAAATAATTTAAGACCTAGGTGGAAGGACGGTTTATGTCAATTTTTCACAAAAAAAAATTATTAGATCGCCATCTGTGTCGTTTTGAACATTTCTAAGGTTTGATAAATCAGTAGTGTGAAAATTTGGTTCCTTGAATTAATGTGCACAACTAGATCCTGGCAACCTTAAAGTACTCAGTTGGATCAGATGGAATACTGTCAGGTTCCAACGGATTTTTTTGTCGTTGTTGATTTTTTTTCTTAATAGCATTTTTCACTTCTTCAGGAGAAATCAACAAACTTAAGATTTCTATTTGTTGATTCACTATTCTCTATGTGTGGATCAAAATTCATCAGCACATCTAGACGTTCTCTCCATCATTATAGAATATCATATTTATCCTATTTTTTGTAGAATTTATTTTTCATCCACGATACATTTCATGATAGAAAGGTCTGTCCTTCCTTACTCCTCTAAGGTATTTAACATCGTTAAAGAAATTCTCATAAGAAATTTGCCTTTAGCTCTATGAATCTTCTTTTCAATTTTTCTTTCACATTCGTATTCATCTACTGCTGTTCCGCTGTGCTTTCTTTGCAGCATATCCTTATATCCCTAATTTTTATTTTCGGTAGCAAACCTACAATCCCGGTCAAATCATTCCTTACTTTGACTACTGTGCTGCTGGTTTCAATTATAACCATTTTCAATGAGTTCCATTTCTGATCAATACTTTCCAAATCTTCCAGATTAATGTTTTAATCGAGTTTACAACTGTCTTTCTGGTATCTCAACTCTACTTCTACCTCCCTTAATAGCTAACAGTAACATTTCTCCAGTATCGTCTTTTGCTCTTTACAGACATTAGATAATATTGATCTAGTTTTCAGTATAATGGTCTGAATCGAAATTTGCGTCTTAATATGATCTGACATACAGTAAGTCTGAAACATGTCTAGCATTAATTAATGCATAGTCAATCTGATTAAAAGTGTCACAATCTGACGATCACCAAAATAAATAATGTATACGCTTATGTGGGAAGTAAATACTGGTCACCACCATATCATGCTCTGCAACAAAAAATATTACCTTCTGCCCAATATCGTTTGAGTCGCTATACAAGCCATGTCCACCAATGGTAGGCCTAAATTCATTCTTTTTCTTCCCACCTTGGCATTTACATCGCCAAGCATGTTTTGAACTGAAAGCATACAATGCGTGGACTTCATAAAAAATAGAATTTTCCTTCTCTTCCTTGTCCTCAGTTGGAGCATGGTGAAGGTGGTTAGTCCAATTTTAGTGGAGGTAATTTAATTACAGTATTTTTGAACAATTGGTCGTGAAATTAATATTTTCGTTGCCTCGAAGGAAGGATATTTTTTCCCAGTGAAATTAACAAAATTAATCAAATAAAAATATATGCTTTATTTATTTTGTAAATATAATTAAAAATAATATAACCATGCATTAAAATCATAAAATAAAAGACAAGGTCCCTTAAAGGGATGTAGAGATTCATTCTCTCATATAAAGAATTATTAACGGTCGAACCGAGGGGCTGAAAACCCCCCAGTCCTAACGCCAAAAATTTTAAATTTAAAGTCAAGTGAATTGTTCTCAACGGACAGTGAGGAGCATGGGAAGAGATCCATTATTCGATTTATCGAAAAATTAGATAGCTAGCCAAAAACAAAGCATACCCCCCTGTAATCAATATTTAATTTGAAACAATTTTGGCTATAACTAATTACCCAAAAGACCGTGAGAAATAATTTAACACTGTAGCTGAAAACTTTCTGAGCTAAGAGAAATAAAGAGTTATAAATATATTTTGATGTTTGATTTAGTCTCGACAGTGAATTAATGAGTTTTACATTTGTAATGAATTAAAAAGTTAGCCGCTGCATTGATTGTTAAAAAGGGAATAAACTATTTGTATTTACTTCTTATAAAATGTGATAAAAATTTAATAATTGGTTTAAATTAAAATTAGATTAAGAATGATTACAAAAATAAATTTATGAAACTAAAGAAATTTTAAAAGCGGGAAATACATATGGTCTCACAATATGCCTAATATGGTCTCACAAGCATATGTATTGATTATGCTATACTTGAAAAATTTGGCTTTTAGCTTAATCTCGCGTAATTCAGGTTATTTAGCTTTAAAATCAATTATTAAATCTTTAATCTTCTGTTGAACTATGGAGCCTGTTCCAAACACTTGCTTCCTAGGATCACAGTTATAAAGCGTTGTTTGATTTCTACTATCGTGTACTGCTTGCCCAATTCATCTCATTTTCCAAAGGTTGAGCAGATCAAGTTTTAAATTATCCATCATTTCTGTTGGAACAAATAATCCCTTACCTCTATAACGAGATTGCAAATTCCAATTTCCAATTTAAAATTCCTTATATCCTTTCTAAGTCGCCACTGTATTGACAGTCAAGAAAAAGCTTTTTTTTGACTTCGTAATATTTAGCCATGCCCCCAACCCCATGCCCCCAACCCAGAGAAACAGTGTGTCACTCGTCGTCTGGTGCCTCACCATGGGTCTGTCCGGGAGGCCCAACGAGTAGTCAAGCCACTGCTGGCATAGCTCAATGAGTCCTAGACACGCGCATGACAATCCAACATCTGCAAGGTGGTAACCACCAGTTGAGGATTTGAGATGTTTAAAAAAAGAGATAATGAACGTTCACATCTACATGATAGTATTCTTTACAACTCGCGGTACTTAATTAGTTTTATTTTATCAAGTGAAATGTCTTTAGAAAAGTAATTTAGAGTTGATGTAAAACCAAATGTAATGACCCTAAAAATTTTGCAAAAAATCTATTTTAAACTTGCATGTCCATCCCTAAAATAATTTTTCAAGTACACGAAATTATTTTCCTCTATTTTTAGGAGAGCCATATTAACTTAATCGTAACTTAATTAATAGTTAATACTAGGACTGGGCGATATTAGAAATTATATATCGTGATGCATCGTCAGTTTTGCATCGTGATATAGCGATGTATCGCGATATAGTATTTTTGAATTTCATTTACTTGTAAGGCACAGAAAGTCAGATTTCAATTAAAACTTCATACTCAGATTGATTTAAATCAATTTATAAATTTGAAGATATATATGTTTTGCTTAAGAAAGATATTAAATAAATTGACTACAATGTACAAATCTTACTTAAAATATTTATTGAAATGTTTGTTTAGAAATTCATAATACGCGTAAAACAAAGTGTTAAAAACTTTTTTTAAAGCGTTTTTTACAAATTAATATTTTCTTGTACTATTATGCATAAATAATTACATAATTATTAAGTTCGATCGTAATGTTCAATTTCTAAATGAAACGTTAAAAATTATTTGTATGTTTAAAACAAAGTGCTAAATAAATTTTAGAAAAAAAAAACGCTTTTAAAACACTATTTTTTATTATTATCATTTCAGTTATTATAGTTCTATTATAGTTCATTTACGTCACACTAGAGCTGCACAATGGGCTATTGGCGACGGTCTGGGAAACATCCCTGAGGATGATCCGAAGACATGCCATCACAATTTTGATCCTCTGCAGATGGGATGGCACCCCCGCTTCGGTAGCTCGACGACCTGCACGCGAAGTCGAGCACTTTACGGTAGAACAGTTTAACGAGGACCAATACCGCACACCCTCGGTCCCTACGCAGACTGATCCAAGTGGTCACTCACCCGCACACTGACCGCAGCCAGTGATGCTTGACTTCGGTGATCTGCAGGGAACCGTGTCTTAACGATCAGTCCACTGCGGGACCTTATCATTTCAGATAAATAATTAAATTAAATTAAATAATGACCGAATTATGAACGAAAAACAAAGTAAGATTTAATTTCTTAAAAATAAAAAAATTGTGATATTCGATAATATATTTAGCTAATTAACAAATAATATGAAAAGAATATTTTTTAAAAAAAATTATTATACTCTCTAATAAAACGAAGTGCTAAATGATTTAAAAAAATGAATAAAATACGCAAACCTTTCAAATTTTTTTGTATAAACAAAGTTGATTGACTTATGTCCAAATCCAAATGACAAAAATAAATTTTGTTTTAACTTTATTTCTAAAAATAAAAACAACAAGATTTATAAATTTAAAATCAGTAATAAAAACTCATTAAATTATTAGAAGTTTCATCCAAAAAGTTTTTAATAAATTAAAAGAAAGTAAAAAAATAACCTAACAAATTCAATTCTTTATGGGAGCCTAAATTAGATTGTCGATAATTTTCACATTTAAAAATAAAACTGAAGTTTTTTTTAAAAAAAACTTATCTAGTTAATGAAGAAACTCTTTATATATTCTTTTCAATAATAGATTGCCTTCAGAACAAGGTAACATCGGCGATCACGAAGTTAGTCCCACTGAAAATAATCTACAAGAAAAGTCGCGACAAAGAAGAAATAAAAAGCTAAGAGGCGCGAAAAGGAACATGCGATATAACGATATATGTTCTCATAACTTTGATTCTGATTCTACAGCTCACCAATCAAGGCCATTTCAACATAACAAAACGAACATCGTCTTCCACAGCGCAAGTCGGTATCAGTTGCAAGAAGATCCTTGCGCGTCTTATATCGANTCTTATATCCTTGCGTGTCTTATATCGCTGTATCGTTTCGCGCTCGTTGTCTTTACTCGACGGCTTAAATCAGATTTCTGATGCATCGCCTTGAATGAAAGTCGCTGTATCGTCTTGCCGATACATGCGTTAAATCGATATGTCTCGATACATCGATTTACAGCCCAGTCCTAGTTAACACTAACCAATTAGCACGTATAAGATCAACCCTTTAAATCGTTAAGATTATATTTTTTGTTAGTGAAAATCTGATCATTGGAACCAAAGTTATT